GTCATTTTTTGATTGTCAGGAAATGATGAGTGGAGTCTCTCAGTGGACTATGCTTGGGCCTCAATTTTTCACAACTTAGCTAAATTTTCAGATGACACAAAAGTAGATAAGAAAGTATGGTGTGAGAGGATACAAGATTGTTGCAGCCGATATAGATAGATTATGTAGTCAAAAGTCTATCAGATCAAGTATAATGTGTGGAAATGTGACGTTGTTCACTTTGGCAGGCTGAATAAAATAAAAACTAGTATTAATTACACCAAAGACGCCAATAGAGTTCTGAGATACAGAGGGTTATAGGCATTTGTGTCTGCTTATTTAAGGAATGATGTAAATGAATTGGAGATGGTTCAAAAGAGTTTTACTAGATTGATACCTGGACTGAGGATAGTTGGACTGGCTGGGCTTGTTTACCACTGAACTTTAGAAGATTGAGAGGTGATTTGATTGATATACATAAGCTCATGAACAGTCTTGATAAGGTGGATGTAGAAAAGATATTTCCTCTTGAGGCTCAGTTCAGAACGAGGCGGCATCGTTTTAAAATTAAAGATTGTCCTTTTAGGACAGAGTTCAGGAGAATTATTTTCTCTCAGAGAGTTGTGCAACTTTGGAACTCTTTGCCTTAAAAGGGGTGGAGATGGGGTCATTAAATATTTTTAAGGCATATATTCATAGATTCATATTAGGCAAGGATATCGAAGATTACTGTGGAAAAATGGAAATGTGGAATTCAGAACACAAACATGTTAGGACTGATTTTAATGAATGTCAGAGCTGCCTCTTTTCATCTGGATCTCTTCTTTCTGAAAGACGGCAAAAGCCGGGACATGAATATTCAAGGATACATAAAATTTCAGAAGGGCAGGAAAATAGGAAAAAGGCAAAAAGGGTAGCTTTGTTAATTAAAGATAACATTAGTACAATACAGAGAGATGACCTTAGTTCTAAGATCAACTTGCAGAATCAGTCTAGGTAGAGATAAGAAATAATAAATGTAGGAAGTCACCTGAAAGAATAGTTTATAGGCCTCTAACAGTAAACACAGCATACAACAAGATATGTAGGAAGCTCGTGAGAACGAGCAGTGATAACGAAGGGTGACTTTAATTTACGCATAGATTGGACAAATCAGTTTGGCTACAGTAAATAAACAAATCATGCTACCACTGGATAAGAGGGGCACCACAATAGTGGTGAGTGAGGCAGCCATGGGATGATCCTACGAGAAAGTTCACTAGGCCTCGCAGAGAGAAAACCTCTATGAAACCCAACAAAAAGGCCACTTTGCCAAAATATGGTAACAGTCAGCCCATGGAATTCAAAACAGAAATTGATGAGCCATGATCCTATTGAATGGCAGTGACCACCAGATATAAGGGCAGAATTAGGCCATTCAGCCCATCCAGTCTGCTCCACAATTTGATCGAAGCTGAAATGTTTCCCATTCTCCTGCCTTCTCCCCAAAACCTTTGATCCCTTTACTAATCAAGAACCTATCTATCTCTGTCTTAAGTATACTCAATGACTTGGCCTCCACAGCCTTCTGAAGACTGAAGAAATTCCTCCTCATCTCAGTTCTAAAGGGTCATCTCTTCACTCTGAAACTGTGTCCTCAAGTTCTAGACTCTCCTACCAATGGAAACATCTTCTCCACTTGCAGGCTGAGGAGCTGAATGGCCTACTTCTGCACCTGTTTTGTTTGTTTCTATGTCACCTAGTCCAGCAGAGTCATTGCTTTCATTTGGGGAAGAAAAGATTTCTTGGTCTGGTTTACATGTGGTTCATGAATCAATTTGCTTGACTATTATAAAAAGAATACTGCTGATGCTGAAAATCTAAAATAAAAAGAAAATGTTGGAAATATTCAGCATAGCTGCTGGAAGAGTTAACATTTCATGTTGATGACCTTCATCAGAAATCCTGATGAAAATCTTATAGGTCCATAACCTAAAAGGTCTTTATCTGTGTTTCTCTTTGAACAAGGTCAGAAGGAACACGACACCAGGTTATAGTCCAACAGGTTTATTTATAGAAGGTTTATTTATTTATTTATTATATAGAAGCTCACGTTATAGGGGTAACATACTAGTACAGATAGAAGATCGTTTGGCTGGCTGTGAACTGAGTTGGAAAGATGGGTCACAAGCCTTTAGAGCACGGCCCCCTTGTCAGGTAGACTCAACCTGATGAAGGAGCAGCACTGTGAAAGCTTGTGATTTTAAATAAACTTGTTGGACTATAACCTGGTGTCATGTATCTTCTGACCTTGTCCATCCCAGTCCAACACCAGCACCTCCACATCATCTCTTTGAACAGGCATCGGCAAACATGCTGAATATTTGCAGGATTTTCTGGTTGACTTTAAGAGTACTCTGAAATGTCCTAGCAGGGAATTCATTTGTGTCACCCATTATCTTACAGCAACTAAGATTAGGCAATAAATAAAACATGATCTTGTGATGAATGCTCACACAAGAATAATGAATTTTCAACCAAACCTTCCTGATATTTAATGATACATGTCTCACAGATGGAATTTACCTCCCACTTTTGAAAGCTTGCTTAAACGTAAAACTCTCCTTTGTAAAGCTCTTAAAACTCATTCTCTTTAGTTATTTATGTAATAAATATTTTATGACCAACTTCATATTGTGTGAGGACAGAATGTAAGTTTCGAAAACATGTCTCTCTTTTCAGCAATATTGAAGTCTTTGTTACCAAGTGATCAGTCAAATACAATTTTGTACATTATTTCAGCACTCTCATGCCATCACACCTTTTCTGAAGTGTGGTGCCCAGAATTACACAAAATACTCTTTTTTTAATCTTTTATAAAGATTCACTGTAACTTAGTTGCTTTTTCTGTGTATAAAGCTTGAGATACCACACATCTCAATGACTAATTTTCAAACCGCATTGTTATCTTCAATGACTGGTGCATATAAGCATCAAGATTCCCTGCTCTGGCACATTCTTTAGAATTGTGCCCTTTATTTTACATTGCTTCTCCTTGTTCCTCCTATCAAAATGTATTAAGTTTCATTTCTCTGCATTAAGTCTGACACATGTTCACCTTTTGACCAACCTTCCTGTGTCCTCTTGAAGTCTATCACGATCATCTGCACAGATAATAATACTTCTAAGTTTTATATCATTTGCAAGTACTGAAATATCCAACTTTGTATCTATGCTGCCACTGTCCTCTTTATTCATCAGCTTTGAATTTGATAACAAGACTGTTGTGGGGTATTTTATCAAATGCCTTTTGCAAGTCCATGTACATGGCATCAACTGCATTATTCTCATCAAACCTCTCTATCACATCATCTGAAAACTCCAAAACGTTAGTTTAACAAGGGCTGCCTTTATCAGGGTACTCACTGAAGAACCTTGATCATGGCTACATAAACGCATAGGATCGTGAAGGACCATTCATAGCAAATTGTCAAACAGCACCAATATTTGTACTATTGTGGTCCTACATTAAATGTACATTTCAGCAGTGAACATTTTATACTCCCAGTTCATTCATATACATCAGCAGTATCCTTACAAATGAGTAGTTAAGAGGAAAGCATATTCCACTGAGTTGAAACAATGTCCCTCAAGGCTGCACTCGGAAGATTTTTGCCTACTTACTGAATCCTCCATTGTCACATATTACAGTGTTTGATATTTTAAAGGTAGTCTGGGAATGGAAGTTTTGTTCAGAGGTTCCCCTCATCAAACATCATTACTCTCCAGGCAATGGATTGAAAACTGTGCATTGAATGAAGAAATTTGCTTCTGGTCAGCAGTTTTAAAGCATAAAAAAATGATAACGAATGATCACTAAGAAAAAATAAGTACATATCTCTCATCATCACATTTAGCAATTTTGGGGAAGTTGGAACAATATACTTCCTTGTTATACCAAAGAAATAAAAATAAAAACTTTTAAACTTTTTTTTTTAAAAAGCTAGCAGGAAAATATAATGATTACTTGGATCCATGAGGATTATGAAACTCAAGTAAGCCATTTATTTGTGTCATAAAATAACATGTTCCAAGACCATTTGCTCCTAAGAGGTAACCACTCAATTAGTTGGAATACACTTGCAATTTTCCAATAAACTGTCCGAATGTATAAGGCCCACTTCATCAATGGAGTGGGATCTCTGATTCAAACCAGTCTGATTTGAATGGACAATTTTCACTCCTACTTAAGCCAAACATCCTCTCTATGCAATAACTTAATTTACAACGTATTCTTTAACACAGAGGCAGAGTATTTGTTACTATACAGTACCTGTTTGCAACATCAGTAAAGATTATGAACAGCTCTATTCGTGAGCAAACCATTCACTTCCATGGAGGCAGACACTGATCAGACAGAAGTGTATGACAGTGAGGTGAATGGCAATTAACTTTTCAGTAGTAATTTTTTAACTTGCTCTGCCTTGGAATGTAGCTGATAGATAAATTTATGGTTAGGAAAGATTTCAATTGCAGAAAAATTAAATGATGATATCCATCATAAGCTCTTTGCACACTATATTACTGAAAAAGGATTCTTTTTTGTGCGTTGTTCAAAATAATGTCAGGTTCCAATCATTTTTTTTTTCATGTCATCTATTCTTTATCTCATTTCGTGTTGGGAAAGTTACATATTGACACTTATAGATTCAAAACCTATGATTTAATTGAAAGGTGATATTTGGTTTACATTGCACAAGTCAAGTTAAGCAGAAAATATGTGCAAAACCGATTACTTGTTAATCTCAACAGCTTCTTTTTCTAATAGCTTGGATACACGTGGGGTGCATCTGCCAAAATGTTTGATACTTTTCGGAAATCTGATTATTCGATGTAATGTTCCCCTCAAATTACCACGCTGAGTGTTTAATGTTGCTGGTCTAAATATCACACATCCCTGACCAGCAGACAACCAGCATACTGTCTGTATCACAATCCAGTGCACATAGCCATTCTAGTCTGAGCAGTGAAGATATACTTACCCTCGGACGGCATGTATGAGCCGCAGGGATGGATACGCTGTCTGAATATTCAGTCTGTTCTTCAGTATCAGTTCATTTACATATTCAACGTATTTTTCCCCACCTTTGACCATGAATGCAGGGATCCACAGAACACTGTCATTCAACACTGTCAGTCTGTCGACAAATTTCTCTCGATCTGTCTCACTCCGAAGACTTCCGAAAGCTCTCTGCACGACTGATGGGTTCATAGTGACAAAATCTGATTTGAGTCCAACATCATCAGCGTATTCTACAAGGGGTGCAAGATTACACCTGCAGCAAATAAAAACAAATATGTTCATTAGATTGTGTTCTAATTAATGTATTTATTCAGACTAAGAAATAAATGACAGCCTATGGAAATAATCAAAAACTATTTAAGCATTCAGTAGTATTTAATGTGAGTACGATTTTTGTTCTTATCACACAAATGTACAAAAAAAATCCGTTTGCACCAATTTTAGGGTGCAGGGTCTGCCATCTGCAATCTCTCCAGATCAGTTTGAAATGAGGTGGGCAGCAGGTAAAATTCATATACTTGGCTAATTTCCCTGATTATAGCATAACCACAAGTTACTCCTTGTGCACTGCTATCTGCTTCTGCACAGTTTAAGTGGTCGACTGGTGTTCCCGATAATGCAGGTGCTGCAGGTCAGTTCAATTCTGTACTGGATAATATCTGGTGGAAGAGACATCAATGAAACAAAAACCTCTTTGGAGCAGCTCATGTTGATGTACACTGAGGAGTGTGGAGAATAGAAATGTCTACTGGATAATCTCCAGTCACTAGATGGAAGCAGTAAAGAGTCTAGCTGCAATGTGATACACAGCAAAGCACAGAGTTGGGAGTTGATCCTTTCTACCGTGGAAATGGGGTGTGCTTGTATGGCACTATGGTGTGGCCGATTGATGATGGCACTGGGGCTTCTGCTCGCCGCTGTTTGAACTTCCACTTCAGCACAGCGGGTGGGTGGGGCAGTTCTGTCTTAGGCTGATGTCTTAGCTATTGGGAATGAGATGGGCCAAGTGGATCCATTGCTTGTAGAGAAACACGCATTTCCGTGGATATTAACAAGGCAGCTACTAATCTTTTAATCTGAGATTTAGGTTTAACCATTGATTGTGTTCATTACAATAGCATCCAATGCATTTTTTCCAGAACAGCAGCTCCTGAACACATGTCGCCTTAAGTTAATGATTCCACATTTACTTGCAAGTAATTCATTACCTCAGTGATTTCAAGTTTTCGTAGCTCACAGTAAGCTGAGCGACCTTTTGATGACAGCTATGTAACTATTCTCTCTTCTGTGCAGTCCCCCCTTCCCCCACCTCATGCAGTATCATTCTTTTCCCCATCTTTGGATCCAGCCTCTCTTTTCCCCCCTGCTTACAGCCTTCGTGTCTTTCAAACTACTGCAGGTGCATTCTCCTGTTTCTTCCTATCCTCCTTGAAGGCTTTGTGTCTCCCTATCCCCCTTGTAGGCTCCCCATCTCCCCTCTATCCTTGCAGCCTCTCTGTTTCCCCTCAGTCCACTTGCAACCTCCCTGTAGCCCCTTCTTATAGCTCCTTTCTCAACACACTGGAAACATGTTGCTGTAGAGCTGTAGAAAACTCTCCTGGACATGTTCCAGGATCTGTTATCCCTCTCTGCTTTTTACTCTACGAATAGATGTTGGATGGTACAGAATGCACAGGTGCAGTGTGTATACATGTTCTTTCTTTCTGTAAAGAACATGGACCCGAGTGTTAATATACTTCCAGTAAGCACAAGTACACTTCATTGTGATCCCAACTAACAGTCTTAAATCAATTGTCAGTGTAATTATTCTCACACTCAGGATTATTTGACAAATGTTGTCCAATTGTAGAATCACATCTAATGATGGACACTATGTTTTGTGTTTCGCAAGTATAGAATGATTGATCACAGTCAGTAACTTGTTTGTTGTGAAAAACTAAAGGGATATGCTGTGAAATGCTTCAACAGTTTTTGGGATATATGGCCGACATATAAAGCATAACACAAGCTGAATATATTAATATATAAGGCCCCATTCTTCATAGACAGAAATAATATATGCACCTATAGCATAAGTTTAATCTCAACGATGTTGCTGACAACCATTTTCCAATTTGTTTCTTAAGCAATGAGTTGACCAATAGGATTAACCTGCCTGGTTCAAAATTTAAACGAAGCTTGGCAGTTAACTGCCTGTCATCATCTAAGTGAATGTATTTTCTTTGGCAATATCTCTATCAATTGCCAACTAATTATCACTCTCCTCTCAGGCAGTATGAATGCTATTTTCCCTTTACGTTAAGGTTTCTTGCAAGGGCAAACTAAAAAGATCAACCTAGTCGAATTAGAATTTCTACAATTAAAACGTTTGTTCTCAGTCTATCTTTATCCTGTTCCACAACTACTGCGTTGAAAAAGCATGGGAGTGATAGACTGAGTAATTACAGGCCAGTCAGCCCAACTAAAAGTGATGGGAAAATTATTGGAAATATTTTGAGAGATACGATAAATGGGATGATGCAGATTAATCAGGGACAGTTAATATGAATTTGTTACAAGTGAATCACTGCGAATAAAATCGATTGAATTTTTTGAGGAAGTAACAAGGATGGATGATGAGGGTAGCATGTTACATGTATTCTAAATGGATTTTAGGGAGGGCTATTGACAATGTCCAATGTGACAATCTGGCATAATGACCTCTACATTGTGAAGGCTGGAGCACCAGCTTTCAGACACCCTGGACCATGACCCCACCATTGAACACCAGGCCATTGTGTCCACAACATTTCATCCGGTGATCTCTCTCTGCTGCCTCCAAGCTCACCGTCCCTCAAACCCACATTGCCCACTTCCATCTCCTTCCCAAAATCCACAAACAGGACTGCCATTGTTTCTGCCTATTCCTGCCGCATATAAATCATCTCTTCCTGCCACGAGATGACTGTTTTTCTCCCCTTATCCCGTCCCTTCCCACTTACATCCACAATTCTTTTGACACTTTGCGTCAGTTTTAGAATTTCCAGTTTGCGGGCTCCAGCCGCCCTCCTCTTCACCATGGATGTGCAATCCCTCTACGTGTTCATCCCCCATCAGAACAGTCTCAGGCCTCTCCACTTGTTCCTGGATAAAAACACCTTCTCCTTTAACTCCTCCCACATTCTTCACACCAAAGGAATAGCCATAGGCCCCAGATATGCCTGTCTCTTTGTGGGGTACATGGAACATTCCTTGTTCCAGTCCTACTCTGGCCCCCACCCACAACTTTTTCTCTGGGACACTGATGATATCATTGGAGCTGCTTCTCTCTCTTGTCCAGAATTAGAAAAATTAATCAATTTCACTTCCAATTTCCATCCCGCCCTCACCTTCATCTGGTCCATCCCTGATGCCTCCCTTCCCTTTCTTGACATCGCTGTTTCCATTTCTGGGGTAGGTATGACACCAATATCCACTACAAACCTGCTGACTCCCACAGTTACCTGGACTATACATCTTCACACTCTACTTCTCTTAACGATTCTATTCCATTCTGTCAGTTCCTCCGCCTCCACTGCATCTCTTCTGATGATGCCAACTTCAACAACGGAGCCTCAGCAATGTTCACCTTAGAACATCGGTCATAGAACAGTACAGCAACAGTACAGGCCCTTCGGCCCACGATCTTGTGCTGACCTATTATCCAACTCTAAGATCAAACTACCCTGCATACCCTACATTTTACTATCATCTATGTGCCTATCCAAGAGTCACTTACATGTCCCTGATGTATCTGACTCCACTACCACCACTGGCATGGCATTCCACGCACCCACCACTCTCTGTGTAAAGAACCTATCTCTGACATCTCCCCACTCCTCCTCCACATCCAATGCTTCCTCACATTCCCACAGCACCTTCTCCTGCAATTGCAGAAGGTGTAACACCTACCCATTTACTTTCTCTCTCCTATCTAAGGCCCCAGACACACCTTCTAGTGGAAACAACAATTTACTAACACTTCACTCAATCTAGTTTACTGTATTCAGTGCTCACAATGTGGTCTCCTCTACACTGGGGAGATGAACAGCAGACTTGGCAACCACTTCTCAGAATTCCTATGCTCTGTCTGCAAAAAGACCCTGAGCTTTCTGATGCATGCTACTTCAACATACCACCGTGTTCCCTGGCCAACATCTCTGTCTCAGACTTGCTACAATGCTTCAGCAAAACTCAGCGCTAGCTGGAGGTATAGCACCTCATTTTCCGCTTGGGAACCCTGCAACGTTCTGGACTTAATATAATATTCAATAATTTTAGGGCTTGAGCACCCTCTCCAATGGCCTTACCCCAACCTCCACACACCAGGCCTTGTCATCACATGGGCAGCTACCACACACAACCCAATGTCAATCACTAACAGTCCCCATTAGCAGCTATTCATTCCAACAGGCTGACCTTTACACATTCCTTTGTCCAACTACGTTTCTTTCTCTCTGGGCTCTATCTCCACCTGCCGTTTACTCCTTCCCCCTCTCCCAACCCTTCTTCAGGAAATATACTAACGTTTTCCTAGCTACAATCAGTTCTGAAGAAGGGTCATTGCACCCAAAATGTTAACTCTGCTTTCTCTCCACAGATGCTGCCAGACTTGCTGAGTTTTTCCAGTAATCTCTGATTTTTTTCCGGTTGCCAGCATTCGCAGTTCCTTGATTTTTTTTAATGACAGACTAGTCAGAAGTTTAAAAGTTAATGGAATCCAAAGGATAATGACAAGTTGGATCCAAAATTGGTTCGGTGGCAGAAAGCACAGGGCAATGGTTGACAAATGCTTTTGTAACTGAAAGGTTTTTCTCAGTTGGTTTGAACATGGTACTGGGTTTCTTATTGTTCATCGTTTATATCAATGATTTAAACTCAAATGTAATCGACACGGCGAAGAAGTTTACAAATGATATTGAAATTGACCAGCTGTCATTAGTGATGAAGAAAACCAAAGTCTACAGGAAAATATCAAAGGACAGTCACGTAGACAGAAAAGTGAAAAATAAAACTCAATCTTGATAATTATGAGGTAATGTATTTGGGGAGGCTAAAAGAAATGCAAGTATACACAATAAATGGTTGGTTACCCAGACATGTAGAGGAACAGAGGACGTTAGAATGCATGCTCACAGGTAGCAGGGTCCCTGAAGGCAACAAGACAGCTGGATAAATTAGTCAAGGAAGTACACAGGAGATTTTCTTCCATTGGTCAAGGTTGCGAGTATAAGA